TGACTCTGAGAGAGGTCAGTTGACCCTGAGAGAGGTCAGGTGACTCTGAGGTCAGGTGACTCTGAGAGAGGTCAGGTGACTCAGAGAGGTCAGGTGACTCTGAGAGAGGTCAGGTGACTCTGAGAGAGGTCAGGTGACTCAGAGAGGTCAGGTGACTCTGAGAGAGGTCAGGTGACTCTGAGAGAGGTCAGGTGACTGAGGTCAGGTGACTCTGAGAGAGGTCAGGTGACTCTGAGAGAGGTCAGGTGACTCTGAGAGAGGTCAGGTGACTGAGGTAGGACTCTGAGAGAGGTCAGGTGACTCTGAGAGAGGTCAGGTGACTCTGAGAGAGGTCAGGTGACTGAGGTCAGGTGACTGAGGTCAGGTGACTCTGAGAGAGGTCAGGTGACTCTGAGGTCAGGTGACTCTGAGAGAGGTCAGGTGACTGAGGTCAGGTGACTCTGAGAGAGGTCAGGTGACTGAGGTCAGGTGACTCTGAGGTCAGGTGACTCTGAGGTCAGGTGACTCTGATAGAGGTCAGGTGACTCTGAGAGAGGTCAGGTGACTGAGGTCAGGTGACTGAGGTCAGGTGACTCTGAGAGAGGTCAGGTGACTCTGAGAGAGGTCAGGTGACTGAGGTCAGGTGACTCTGAGAGAGGTCAGGTGACTCTGAGGTCAGGTGACTCTGAGAGAGGTCAGGTGACTCTGAGGTCAGGTGACTCTGAGGTCAGGTGACTCTGAGAGAGGTCAGGTGACTGAGGTCAGGTGACTCTGAGAGAGGTCAGGTGACTCTGAGAGAGGTCAGGTGACTCTGAGGTCAGGTGACTCTGAGAGGTCAGGTGACTCTGAGAGAGGTCAGGTGACTCTGAGAGGTCAGGTGACTCTGAGAGAGGTCAGGTGACTCTGAGGTCAGGTGACTCTGAGAGAGGTCAGGTGACTCTGAGAGGTCAGGTGACTCTGAGAGAGGTCAGGTGACTCTGAGAGGTCAGGTGACTCTGAGAGGTCAGGTGACTCTGAGAGAGGTCAGGTGACTCTGAGGTCAGGTGACTCTGAGGTCAGGTGACTCTGAGGTCAGGTGACTCAGAGAGGTCAGGTGACTCTGAGAGAGGTCAGGTGACCCTGAGAGAGGTCAGGTGACTCTGAGAGGTCAGGTGACTCTGAGAGAGGTCAGGTGACCCTGAGAGGTCAGGTGACTCTGAGAGGTCAGGTGACCTGAAGGTGGGTGGTTACCTCGGAGGCGTCCGTCAAAGTGCGGGTTGGTGGCCACCTTGAGTCCGGGGTGCGGCAGCAGGAAGCAGCTGATGTTTGAGAAACAGGAGTGGATGTGTTTCCTGACGTTCTGCAGCTCCTCATGTTGGTTCTGCTTCACCTGAACACACACACACACGATGTAAACACACACACACACGATGTAAACACACGCACACACGATGTAAACACACGATGTAAACACACACACACACACAATGTAAACACACGCACACACAATGTAAACACACGATGTACACACACGCACACACGATGTACACACACGCACACATGATGTAAACACACGCACACACGATGTAAACACACACGATGTAAACACACACACACGATGTAAACACACACACACGATGTAAACACACGATGTAAACACACACACACGATGTAAACACACGCACACACAATGTAAACACACGATGTACACACACGCACACACGATGTACACACACGCACACATGATGTAAACACACGATGTAAACACACACACGATGTAAACACACGCACACACAATGTAAACACACGATGTACACACACGCACACACGATGTACACACACGCACACATGATGTAAACACACGCACACACGATGTAAACACACACGATGTAAACACACACGATGTAAACACACACACACGATGTAAACACACGATGTAAACACACACACACGATGTAAACACACGCACACACAATGTAAACACACGATGTAAACACACACACAATGTAAACACACGCACACACAATGTAAACACACGATGTAAACACACACACACACACACACACGATGTAAACACACACACACACAGTAAACACACACGATGTACACACACACACGATGTAAACACACACACACACAGTAAACACACACGATGTACACACACACGATGTACACACACACGATGTAAACACACACACACACACACACAGTAAACACACACGATGTACACACACACACACGAATCAGGTCAAACTCACCTGCAGTCTCTTCTCCAGGAAGCTCCGCCCCCCCTCCAGACCGTACGGGTGCTCGTAGGGGTAACTCCAGTCCCGGATCAGGAACATCAGAGTCTGAACACAGGACACGTGAAGGTCATTCATCAGAAGCGTCTCCGAGTGACTCAAAGTCCACACAGGAAGTGACGATTCGTTCCACAAATCAAAGGACTGCAGAGTGTTTAGCTCCGCCCTTTGGGGGTCGGTCGGTACGCTTTGCACGCTAACAGAAGGCGAGCACAAAAGTAGGACGCTACAGATCCGTTACTTTTGTTCCATTTCAACTGTGGAGTGGAAATGCCAAAAAATGACAACGATACGGGGTTTCCCATCCCAGACTTCACGGTAATAAAGGACCTGATACAGTGGTGGGTGGGTGGAGGGGGGGGGGGGCAAAATCCCCCCAGATACGTTACGTGTGCGTGGCGTGTCAGCACCGTGCTCCCTCGTCCGTCAACAGGCGGCGTTTTCAGAGCGAGCACGGAGCAGCACAGACCGACATCTGGAGTCCTGAGACCAAGGAGTTATTACCCAATCAGGAGTGAGATGACACCATGTATGAGGGATAAGAAACAGACGATCTGATTGGCTCTGACTCATCTCGTGGCGTGCTTCTAGCAGGTCAGTAAGAACGATGGCGTTTTGTTGATACAGTGAATGTCTGCTCCGCTGAGACGACCCGACACGTATCTGGTAGAATCTAACTTAAGATCACTTCCTGTTCTGGTCTCTAAAGGGGAATCAGGAGGTCGTACCTGGAAGGGTTTCTCGTAGACTTCCTCCATGGCGAGCCGGCCATACTCGGTGAAGAGCTGTGGAGAGGACAAATATCACGAGATCAATCAGAGGCAGTGTGTGTGTGTGTGTGTGTGTGTGTGTGTGTGTGTGTGTGTGTGTGTGTGAGACTCTCTGCAGCTCTAGATGTTTTAATGAGCCTCTCATGCGGCTCAGATTCAAAGAAGAAAACTCCAAACATGGAAGCTTCAGCTTCAGGTCTTAACCCTGAAGTCCAGGAGGAGAATAAACACACCTGATATGGAGATCTCCACTCAGCGGTTTAACAGTGAAGCCGGCTGGAGTCAGAACAAGATTTGTTATCAGAAAGACAGAAAGCTCAGCGGAGCGGAGGAGACACAAAATGAACGACCTGAAAAGGACGCACTAACCCGGGCTGCAGTGTTTATTCAAGGTTCAAACATTCATTCAAACAGGGGGAGGAAGTTCAACTTGGAAATGTAATGAGCCTTTCTGCAGACAGCAGCTCACTGATTGGAGGACAGACACAAGGTCTATAGAAACCTGCAACTCTCCAAGCTGGCTCGCTCTTATTTATACAAACCAGGAGCAGGTGTTCTGGTCAGCAGGTCATATTGTTAATAAAACGAGAGCTGCACTCGATTCTGATCAAGTTCATAAACGTGTTTCTGCTGAATATGAGAGCGAGGGGCCGCTGGTACGTCCCCACATGTCGTGTAGGAACAGAAGCTTCTTTTGAAACTTTTCTACAGTCGACGTTATTCTGAACTCTTAGGATCTACAATTCACTTATCAGACGCTTTTACCGAAGAGACATGAGAGACTGAGAACCACACTAATCCATTCATACACCGTCACTGAAGCAGAGGGAGCAATGCGGGGTTAAGTGTCTTGCCCAAGGACACATCGGACATGTTGCCCAGCTGGGGATCGAACCCTCCACCTTCCAGTTGAGAGGAGACGACTCTACCCACTGAGACACAGCCGGGTCCAATTCACGAAACCACGCAGACAGTTCAATGCACCTCAGTATTTATAAGAGATGTGACACTCAAACTTTCCAGTGATCAGGATGCACTTCCACATGACTTCAAAATAAAAGCTGTGTAAACAAAGTGTGTAAACAAACAAAGTGTGTAAACAAACAAAGTGTGTAAACAAAGTGTGTAAACATTGGGTCTAACCCTAACCCACCTGGAGGTGCTGCAGGTCGTCTTCCTGAACATTCTGGGACAGATTGTACACCTGAAACACAAACAGCTGTCAGACTCTGGCTCTCACTGCAGACGTTTGTTACCTGAACACAGATGTCTCACCTGCACCGAGCTGGTCATGGTGCTCAGAGCGAACAGCGTGGCGCAGTCTTTGATGGTGGACTGGCTGTCGAACGCCCCCTGGGTGTCCATTAGTAGAACTGCAACCTGAAACAAAATCACACAGGTCACCCGCGTGGTCGTTTTGGATCTCTTAAAGGGTTCACAAGTTTCTGTTTCCTGTGGACTCACCTTGCTGCCGTCTGGTTTCTTCACCACAAACACTTCACTCCATGCCAGGATGCCCGTCGTCTCCCGCTCGCAGCCGCCTCGCCAGGTGAAGCCGGTCAGAGGCTGCTCCTCCCCGCCGACCCACGAGTCACACTGGACAAAGACAAACAGACGTGGTTATCGCTCTGTTCCAGAGTCGTCTTTAAACGCCATGAACCCGTTTGTTGTTTTAGAAAGAGGAATAAACAGTGGTGGTCTTGATTTAATATCTGATATAATATTAACTGAGGCAGTCAGATGATTTGATGACATAGAGATTGAGACCTTCAAAGAGAGTTCTCGATTACTGAGAGTAAGAAAGGACTTGTACAAAGCAAAATGGTCAAAATGGAGACAATATTTGAAAGATCAGTAGATAAGGTGCTCAGTGGTTTGCCCCACACTCATTCTGACAACTTTATGTCGTTTACCTCCTTTTCACTGATTTATTTTATCATGTAAATGATGAGAAGCAATTTAAAGACCCCTGGTGAGCTGCACTACTGAGGTTATGACCTAAAATTGAACATGTCTAAATGTCTGGCAATTATTCTGATGTTATGTTGTTGATGTTTTCTGTTGAGTTCTGGAGAGTGGACAAATGACCACTAAACTATCTAAACGGGGACCCCCTCAGAGTCAAAGCAGTGATACTTACTTTCTCTGAGCGTGTTCAGAGGTCAAGTCACGTAAGCCAATCCAGTGTGGCCTGACCTGTGTGGGCGGGGCTTATTTCATGCATAAATATGTCCTTTAAGCAGCAGTGGGGGGGGGGGGGACGCCCCACAGAGGCGACATTGTGCCCGACTAAAATCCTCTTTACAGTGTCATATAACCCTCCAGAATGTTCCTCGACGCTTACCGTAGATTACCAAGGTCAAAGGTCGAGTCACACCGCCGCACACACAGTTCACATGTGGATCAGACGTTTAGGGGATTATTTCCTGCTGCTGTGTTTTAAAGCTAAAGGAGCCGCTGACAGAGATCTTCAACAGGGAGACATGAACTTCATGTGCGCTCGTTCATGAAGTGTACCGTGCTGAAGAACACCTCTACAAACCGGGCCGAGGACAGGAAGTGTACCACGCACTGGTAAAGTGGACTTTAGCATCCTAACCTCTAAGCAGTTACAGAAGGTAGAGTACAAACATACTTTAAATGTAACAAAGTAAACTAGTGCTAGCTTGTTAAGCTAAGCTAACATGTCCGAATTGTGTCATCAGATAGTTTCAAGGTGATTCATGTGGCGGTGCTCTGTGTGGGTAACGTGTTGTATCACCTGTTGTCCTCACGCCGGTCCTCACGCCGTGTGTCCGGTCGAGGAGCACACGGCGACTGTCTGACCGGCCTGCAGGTCATGACACTTGATTATCATTCTCCTGTATTTCACTTTGGTCGGGTAATTAAAGTTACGCAGCAAAGCAAAAAAAGTCTGGACCTGACGGGTGGTGCACGCTCATGTTCACTACCAAAATAAAAGCCTCCTAGACGCTGAGCGGACTTCACGTAGACAGAAGTTCTGCCACACAGACGTAAAGTACCGTATTTTCCGCACTATAAGGCGCACTTAAAAGCCTTTCATTTTCTCAAAAAACGACAGTGCGCCTTATATATGGATCAATTGGTTAATCCATACTGGTTGTACACGGCGCTCAGCGACACTGACTCGGATAATGACGAGAGGGAGCCGGGCATGTTGGATGCCGTACTCGCCCAACTGTTCAATTCAGACACTGAAGAAGAAGAGTTCGAGGGATTCGTGGACGGGGAATGAACTGAAGAAGTGAGCTTTACGTGTTATACGTAACTGAACAATGTTGAGTTCTGCACTAACGTTTGAATTAGCGGTATCAGACTGTGTTTCTTTTACGTGTTTACAACTGAACAAGGCTGGGAGATATTGTGAATATGCACATTAACGTTTGAACAACGTTGAGTTATTGTGAATGCACTACGTTTTATACGTATTTATATTTATATATTCACAATATCTCCCAGCCTTGTTCAGTTGTAAACACGTTCTATTCTATGCGCCTTATAATCCGGTGCGCCTTATAGTGCGGAAAATACGGTACTCGAGCGAGAGAGCGCGCGCAAGAGAGAGTGCAGGCACGCGCAATGACGTGCAGGTAAAACCGGGGGGGTAAACGTTTTACCAAAAAGTCATATATAGAAACTATGCTACGAGTATTAAACACATTTGATGAAGCTGCAGCTACTTTTCTCTGCTCCTCTCTGCTGTCATGACTGTGAGCATCGCGGGGGATGAGACACACCAACAAACAGCGCAAACGCGCGCACACACACACACGCACACACACACACACACACTTGCACTGGAGCGCCAGCCACCACGCGAACCTTTTTACTTTTAGTGCTACAGCACACAGTTGATCCGTGATCCGTACGGACCGAGGTGGGAACACACGTGACCCGGTCAAACAGTCGGTTGGACTTTACTCCGTTCACTCTCACCATGTCTGCAGCTAATTTAACAAAAGTAACATCATCTCACAGCAGCCTGCTGTAGTCTGTAGTCTGCATTACTTTTTACAGAACTCTCATTTATTATGTTCTGTTTGTTGTGTGAGTATTAAATGCGTTTGTAGGCTGTTGGTAAAGGCTATGGCTCACTATGTGGACTGGTAGATCTCGGCAGACTGGGAACTTTAAAAGTAGATCTTGGTTCAAAAAAGGTTGGCACCCCTGCGTTAGTGCATAACTCAACATTGTTCAGTTACGTATAACATGTAAAGCTCACTTCTTCAGTTCATTCCCCGTCCACGAATCCCTCGAATTCTTCTTCTTCAGTGTCCGAATTGAACAGTTGGGCGAGTACGGCATCCAACATGCCCGGCTCCCTCTCGTCATTATCCGAGTCAGTGTCGCTGAGCGCCGTGTACAACCAGTATGGATCAACCAATTAACCAACTGATCCATATATAAGGCGCACTGTCGTTTTTTGAGAAAATGAAAAGCTTTTAAGTGCGCCTTATAGTGCGGAAAATACCTTTACCTTTTGTTTACAGTTCCCTCTTTCTGTCTCATTGATCAGACTTTTGCTCTGCCTATTTCTTTACGATTCAGTCTCAAAGCCCTCGTGTTGGTTAGTTTTAGTCTTTAGTTTGATTTGATGATTCAGTCTCCCACTGACTGAATGTTTTACCTGTTTGTACATGAAGCGCAGCATGAAGTCCAGCAGGAAGGACTTGCCCTTGCGGAAAGCTCCGGCCACGCAGACGACGACCACGTTGAGGTCCTGCACCGCCTCCTGCAGCAGCAGCCGCTCCAACGCCGCCTCCTGCAACGAGAACGAGTGCTCCTCCTCATCCGCCACCACGAGCTGCACCGGCCGGGCCACGCCCACCTCCTCCTCCAGCAGGTCATCTTCCTCCTGGTCACGTGTCATCGTGGGTTTGTCTGGAGAGAGAAAGTGATCGTTATGAGAGAGCGACCTGCAGATCCTCTGATTTAAAGAGAATAAAGACGGGGGCGATCGCAGCATCCTGACTGGAGTAATAAAATAAATCTGCAGTCACCTGAAGCGTTCACTCTGAGCGTTGGAGTGCTCAGCTGTTTAATAACAAAGAGCAGATTCTTTCAAATCTGAAGTGATCGATCTGAGGGCAGCATGACCTTTAACTGCCCGGGTGTCGACCACAGCAGCGTGCAGGCATTACAGCTGACGTCCTGCCAACAGGTCAACGCTTCTCTACTGAGGGAGAACACGTTCCGCCGCTGCTTGGCGCCCCTCAGAGAAAGTTAAGTCTTGATAGAAGCCACTGGTTTAACCCCGTGACTCCTGTTATTGATTACTTAAACTTTCACCCCGTGTGGTGTCATTACACAAAGACACCACACGGGGCATCATCTTTGTTAAACACTGATTGGTTCGTTGTCTCCGACACTCCGTCTGTTGTTTGTAAATATTTGCACACAGTCGGCGTGAACGCTGGAGGTGGATAAATTCAGTTTTCTAAGTGGACGCTCAGATGGTGTTTAATATAACGTTGAGAAGTGACAGCGGACAAAGTTTCCTGACATCTCGCCGTGAGTAAAGCTTCCCCGGAGCTGAGCCAAAACAAAGAGTGAAGGGAGTCAGTGCTGTTAAGGATGACTGGTTTAAATACACGGAGCCGTCTCCTTGTATGGCGTGCATACAGTCGACCGCCTCTGGGAGCGTGGCGTCTGATTCTGGACATATTTGGGGGTTTTGGGTCTCAGTGAAAGACTTTGTTTTATTTCTCCCTGGTATGAATCAAGCTGCACAGATTTCTGTTTTCATAGCATGAGAGTGTGACCTTGTGTAAGCGTGACAGCAGCGTGATCCTACAGCTCAGCTAACGGGCCCGAGCAGCGGCGCCCGCAGCCCCCCCGAGAGGAAGAAGAAGAGTCTTCATTCAGGTCAGCGAGGAGCTGCTCGGGCCATGTGAGCACTCTGCAGCAACGCCACCACGACTGATCTGCTTCAAATACACACAACATGAAAAGAGTTGGCCATTCAGAGCGCCATGTGTGCTCTCAGCGAGGCTTTTAAGAGACTCAGTGATCCGCTGAGTCCTCTGTGTTCAGGACACGAGCTGCCTCAGGACAAACACGTCTTCTTCTGCACAGACGCACAAGTGCAGCGTTACACGCTAAACACAGAAACATGTCATCTGTAGGTTCAAAGAAAAATGTCAAACATGGGTGTTGTAGTTCTTTAGTGTAGTTCTTTTCCTTGATTTCCTGAATAAAACGTGTTGTTTATTTATGTCGCAGATTTCAACAACAAGGTAATTCAAAGTGCTTCATGACAGAGGAAAGAAAATAAACAGAACATATAAAATCAATTAAATTATTAAATCAAAAAATATATTCAAATAAAAATAATTACAATTAAATTACATATAAATAAAAAGTAAAGAAATTAAAAGAGTTAAAATAATAATAATGACAGTGCAGAGTAAAAGTTTTAAATCTTATTAAAGCTGTAAACAGGTGTGTTGATATCAGACGACCTCGTGTCTCCTACAGGAACAGAAACCATCGTCTCACACTCAGGTAGCTCGTGGTCAGTCTACCTGTGATGGTTATGACATCACCCTATAAGGTCAATCCTGTTTTTATAAGACTTCCTCGTCATGAGGCACTCTCTGAATCCACAAAGGTTTGGTTCCATTTCTCTTTCTGGCGGAACATTTCCAACACTAAAACGCCAGCTTTGCGTTTTAAGACGGACGAGGAGACGGAGCATTTCCTGCTGGTTGACCCGAGTGTGGTTAGACGTCGTTAGTCTCTCCAAACAGCTGTTATCATGAATATATTTCACACTCAGAAGCAGCTAGAGACAACGATGTAACCATCCAACTCACAGCAGCTGCTCTCGCCAACACTCCTGACCAACGGCACGTTTGATCAGCATCTCTACACAGGAAGGGGGTCGTGAATACTTCGTAGCCACGCTGTGTTCCCGTGCTTGTGCATGAACTTTACCGTGCCGTGGCCGACCGCTCCAAACCGCACGCCACTAGTCAAACAAACTCGACTTTCCGGGTCAAACGTGCTCGGTACAGATCGTGTGCCGGATTTCACACATTCAGACCCTTAAAGAGCGAGCGCGGCGTGTAGAACAAAATATGTCATTCTGTAAACCTTAAAGGCACAATGTGTAACTCCATCCAGCAGATGGCACCCTAGAGTATCAGCATGAAACTAAAACAAACTGCTGTTTGGCCACGCCTCCTCCACACACCTCTAACGCCCATCCACACGGAGGAGGTTCATGCAAACCAAATTAGTCCTGTGTTAGCATGCTAATGTTAGCTCTTCGCTCCACATTGCCTGTGGTCTGAATTGTTGTGTTAGCATGCTAATGTTAGCTCGTAGCCCCACGTCGCCTGTGGTCTGAATTGTTGCTTTAGCATGCTAATGTTAGCTCGTAGCTCCACATCACGGGGCAGCAATAGCTCCCTCACTCTGGCTTCTCTCCACAGGATCCTGTTTATCCTGTTTTGTCAAATGAAACGTCACATTCGTCCTTCCACGTTTCAGAGAGCACAACATTTCATGGTACAGCTTGTTCTCTGGAAGGATATCATTCAGCAAACTCTGCTCCTTAATGCTCACATGCTCTGAAACATCACATGTGCAAGAATTCCTGTTTTCTGAGGGAGAACAAAAGAGCTGAATGTTTCAGAGTGTGAGCTCCAGATCTGGAGTAAGAGGATCACCAGGACCAGTGAGCGTCACATGATGCATGGCTCACTTTCTTGTCCCACTTTGGTGTGAGCGCAGAGCGAGCGGCTCCTCCCAGCGCCGCCCCGGCAGGTCAAACACAGAGAGGAGCTGAAACAGCTGTAAACACACCTGGATCACAGTGTAGATAACACTTCTTTAAAAAGCACTGATAAGGTTCAACATCCACAGCAGGCCTCCTCATGCTAGCTGAGCTAACCAGCTGTGATAAAGATTAGCCACATAGCTACTCATCCGTTAGCTGCTGCAGATAATATAGCAGAAGTCGTTAGCTGGATAGCTAGCAGCTCGGCGAGGGAGTCTAGTATCCATCCCAAAGCCGGTCCCAAATCTTTTTCTCCAAGCAGCTGCTTAATGCTGCCAGCGCTCTACAACTCTGAAAAGATGCTGGCGCTCAGGAAAACACACGAGGTGGACACGGGGCCTGGGACTTCTACTACTGTTGCCGTGGTAACAAACAGATACCGTCTGATTTAAACTAGAACCTTATGGAAGTTTAATATTCTGGTTTCTTGAACTGAAATGTGAGGATCTGTAGAGAGAGACGCACACACATCCATTACGTTGATCCCTCACTTACCAAACTCTTTAAAAAGATTTAGAATGAAGACAAGATGGCCGCTTAGCTGAAAGTTACTGAGCATGAACATCACCGCTCGACTCTCTGCAGAGTGATGATGTTTGTTGTGATCCATACAGCGCCCCCTGCTGGTCCAAGAGAACTGTTAGAGCAACACAATGAAACTCATTAAATTATTTCATAAATCTAGAAATATTGACATATATCCGTTACAGTGAGTCGATACCGATGGTCACTGGATACGCTGATGTGAGAACACAGCAGGATATAATCAGGAGAATTCACCTGGAGCCAGTGGGAGGGGCCAGTGGGAGGGGCCAGTGGGAGGGGCCAGTGGGAGGGGCCAGTGGGAGGGGGTGGTGACTGTCTGCACGCCACCTCTACCATCTCCGTGCTCTAATCAACCTGCTGATCAGGAGAACATCCGGAGCGGCGTCCTGAAACGACCTCGACGTGTTCGGGAGTGCAGACGTGACCTTTAATCCTGATCTACGGCTGACATTCATCCAGTTTGAGTTATTATTCCCTCAATCATGAAAACAAGATCATGGAGATTAAACGATGACTGTGCCGCACGCCGTGTAGCGCTCGTTTTGTCACGTGTGTTTAAGGTTTAAACATTTTAATTTATTGCTCGTTTCTCAAAGTGTTCAGAGAGTTTACAGTCACTCGATGCGGATGTCGTAAATCGACGAGTAATCGTGTTTAATTAATCGTGGTCATGATTTTGGCGTTATCGAGCCGTCCTCACATTTCTACTAAAACTAATCTCAGTTTGTTTAATTCAACATATATTCCAATAAATCTTAAATCACTTTCACAACTCTAACTTTATACCAAATCAACACTTTAAGATTAATATTTATTTCTGTCCTAAAAACATTTTTACACATTAAATCTGATAAACAGATTTGAAATTATGTTTTATTTTATTAATATAATTTATGTTGATTTAAGGGATGATTATTAAAAGGGTCAGATTATTGAGCTGAATTGTTAACTGGAAGTCAGAGTTTAGTTTTCAGCTTTCTTTTCATGTTTAAAGCAGGTTTTGTTCAAGCTGAGCTAACCTCCCACAGCACAACACAGATACTATCCACACTGAGAAACCGTTAGCTCGTAGAGGCTAGCTGCTGTTAGCTCGTAGAGGCTAGCCGCTGTTAGCTCGTAGAGGCTAGCCGCTGTTAGCTCGTAGAGGCTAGCCGCTGTCAGTGCTCTGTCCCCTTCTCTTCTGCTATGCTGACGATACCCAGCTCTTCCTGTCATTCCCACCAGACGATGTTACAGTCTCTATAAGAATCTCATCATGCCTTTCTGATATCTCTGAATGGATGAATGAACGCCTCCTTCAACTCAATCTTTCAAAGACTGAGCTCCTTGTCATCCCAGCCAGTCCCTATATGCAACCACAGATCAATATCCAGCTTGGAACAACCAAACTCATGCTCACAAAGTCTGCAGGGACCAGCTAACTTTTAAGGTTCAAGTAGCCTCGATTGCCCGGTCATGTGGATTTGCCCTGAACAACATCAGGAAGATCAGACCTTACCTGTCAGAACATGCTACATGCTACATGCTACACAGCTCCTGGTACAGGCTCTTGTGATGTCTCTACTGGCAGGTCTTCCTACAGTCTACATCAAACCTCTGCAGAGCACATGTCACTCCGCTGTTCATCTCCTTACACTGGCTCCCAGTTACTGCTCATCACACTTCATTCATACCCTGAAGCAGAGGGAGCAGCTCTTCATTCATACCCTGAAGCAGAGGGAGCAGCTCTTCATTCATACCCTGAAGCAGAGGGAGCAGCTCTTCATTCATACCCTGAAGCAGAGGGAGCAGCTCTTCATTCATACCCTGAAGCAGAGGGAGCAGAGGGAGCAGCTCTTCATTCATACCCTGAAGCAGGGGGAGCAGCTCTTCATTCATACCCTGAAGCAGAGGGAGCAGCTCTTCATTCATACCCTGAAGCAGAGGGAGCAGCTCTTCATTCATACCCTGAAGCAGAGGGAGCAGAGGGAGCAGCTCTTCATTCATACCCTGAAGCAGGGGGAGCAGCTCTTCATTCATACCCTGAAGCAGAGGGAGCAGCTCTTCATTCATACCCTGAAGCAGAGGGAGCAGCTCTTCATTCATACCCTGAAGCAGAGGGAGCAGCTCTTCATTCATACCCTGAAGCAGAGGGAGCAGAGGGAGCAGCTCTTCATTCATACCCTGAAGCAGAGGGAGCAGCTCTTCATTCATACCCTGAAGCAGAGGGAGCAGCTCTTCATTCATACCCTGAAGCAGAGGGAGCAGCTCTTCATTCATACCCTGAAGCAGAGGGAGCAGCTCTTCATTCATACCCTGAAGCAGAGGGAGCAGCTCTTCATTCATACCCTGAAGCAGTGGGAGCAGCTCTTCATTCATACCCTGAAGCAGAGGGAGCAGCTCTTCATTCATACCCTGAAGCAGCTCTTCATTCATACCCTGAAGCAGAGGGAGCAGCTCTTCATTCATACCCTGAAGCAGAGGGAGCAGCTCTTCATTCATACCCTGAAGCAGTGGGAGCAGCTCGGTGTCCAACGACTCATCGGACATGTTGCCCAGCTGGGAATCGAACCCTCCACCTTCCAGTTGAGAGGAGACGACTCTACCCACTGAGCCACAGCCGCCCAAGTGAATTGTGGAATTGTTAGCTCGTAGCAGCTAGCCTCTGTTAGCTCGTAGCAGCTAGCCTCTGTTAGCTCTGTTAGCTCGTAGCAGCTAGCCTCTGTTAGCTCTGTTAGCTCGTAGCAGCTAGCCTCTGTTAGCTCTGTTAGCTCGTAGCAGCTAGCCTCTGTTAGCTCTGTTAGCTCGTAGCAGCTAGCCTCTGTTAGCTCTGTTAGCTCGTAGCAGCTAGCCTCTGTTAGCTCTGTTAGCTCGTAGCAGCTAGCCTCTGTTAGCTCTGTTAGCTCGTAGCAGCTAGCCTCTGTTAGCCGCGCTGCTAACAACAAACACAGAGCTGAGCTTCATGATGAGAGTTCATCCCGCTGAGTGGAGACACTCAGACACTCAGACACTCAGACACGACCCACGGAGCCCCGGGGGGACACGGAGAGATTTAACCGGAGAAACAACCGGACAGACACACCGGAGCGGCGCGCGCTGTGAGCACAGCGGGACACCCAGCGGGACCCAGCGGGGGTAACACGGCCCCGCGTGTCCTGTCCGGCCTCCCTAACATCTTTAAACACTCCGTGGATTCATAATCACCGTCTGTGAAGATGCTGTTGCTCCGACGCTTCACCCTGCTCTCCTCCGCCGCCATCTTTCCTGCTCAATGCGCTGACGTCACACAACTCACAGCCGCGGGGCTTGTCCGCGCGGTCCTAAAATACAGAGCCGAAGCTCCGCCCCCTTTTCAAGCTCGTTTCTGTACTGAGCCGAAGCTCCGCCCCCTTTTCAAGCTCGTTTCTGTACTGAGCCGAAGCTCCGCCCCCTTTTCAAGCTCGTTTCTGTACTGAGCCGAAGCTCCGCCCCCTTTTCAAGCTCGTTTCTGTACTGAGCCGAGGCTCCGCCCCCTTTTCAAGCTCGTTTCTGTACTGAGCCGAGGCTCCGCCCCCTTTTCAAGCTCGTCTCTGTACTGAGCCGAGGCTCCGCCCCCTTTAGCAGACGTTGATAAATGACGTCCTTTATTATTCCACAAAAAGCCGAGCTGTCAGTAAGCTGCACTGCAGGATGAACTATGAACCTTTTAGCTCCTGCTTCAGAGAAGCTACTCTCTCCAGGTCCAGCTCACCTGATGCAGGTAACAGGTGCTCCTCGGATCGGCCCAGTGTCCGGGTTGAGAATACAACACAATGACTTTATTGATCCTAAACTGGGGAGTTGTGTTGTTACATCAGCAGGTTATCCAAACACACAATATGAATAAAAAACACAATATGAATAAAAAACACAATATGAATAAAAAACACAATATAAAATACAAAGTAAATAAGCACTAAAAATATCAAAACTAAGAATGAGAATATATACAAGCAGGATTTAACTAAACATTACTCGTCTGAAACAGGAAGATTAACGATGGAAGATTAAAGGTAAATGTGTAAAAACAGAGTCGTAGATGGACAGTGTTGACATCAGTTAAAGTGAGTGTAGACATGTTATCAGCAGAAACTATTATAACGGTGAGTATATGAGTGCAGGGATCATTTGAAGAAGTTTGAAGATCATTTGAGAAGTTGTTCTTCAAACTTCAGTGTGTTCTCGTGTTTTTACATCGTAAAGTCTGAATGTTAAAATCATCAAGATAAATGACAAAAAGGGGAATCTGGCTCAATTCTCAGAAATCTCAGTTATTCAGAATCATACGGAAGCCCAAAGTGGAAACACATCCAGATTATTTCACTCTGTTTCCCGTTAAGTTGAATGAAGTTGTTTTCATGAGGTCAGAGTTTGGAGACAAAAATACAAATATTAGATTTCAAAATAAAAGTCCTTATTGCTGTCACCATGTTGTTTATGACATTATTCTTATAAATATTCCGACTTTCTTCTCTTATGAATTTATTCTGGTAACATTTCAACTTTAATATGTTAATCTTAAGAATGAATCTTATTTTACTCTCGTTGTAGGACTTTCTTCTCTCTCTTATTTTTTACAACTTTAAAGTAATATTATGATGTTAATCTGGTTCATTTCTGCTTTAAAGCACAGATGTTTCATTTAGATTGTTTACATTATTTTATATTTTGTGTATTCAAATATATATATTTTTTAATGTTACATTATATTTCTACATTACTGTATTTATGTGTTTTAGTAATGTGAGTGTTTATTGCATGGCCTTGTGGAACAGGCTTCTCTTTCACTGAACATCT